CCCCGCGCGCCCCCTGGCTGCTGCGCGCGGCCAGGGGGGGGGGGGGGGCTTGAGCGGGCTCGCGCACTTCCAGCACCAGTGGTTGCGCCTGAAGTTCCAGGCGTAGCTGCGCGACTGGCACTTGGCGCATCCCTCGGCCGCACGGCGCGCCTCCTGCTGATTCTCCCCCATGCTTCACAAGAGGGGCCGAGAGTGCTCACCTGCGGGCAGCAGGCTCGGGATGAGTTGAACAAAACCGTCGGGCTAGGGGGCCCTGGCGCTGGCCGCGGCCTAGCGGTATCCGCGCGTTCCCCTGTGGAACAAAGCACCTTGAGCCAAAATGGCTACAGAGGGGGAAGGGGGGGGGGGAGGGGGAGGAGGAGGAGGAAGAGGAGGAGGAGAAAGGAAGCGGAATGATCAGGAGGGGGGGGGGGGGGGGGAGGAAAAAGAAGAGGAGGAAGGGGGAGGAGGAGGAGGAGGAGGAGGAGGAGGAGGAGGGGGAAGAGGAGGACGAGGAGGAGGAGGAGGAGAAGCAGGATGGGAAAACGGAGGAGGAAGAGAACGAGGAGGAGGAGGAGGAGGAGGAGGAGGAGGAAGAGGAGGACGGTGATGATGAGGAGGGAAACATGGAGGATGAGGAAGAGGAGAAGAAAACCGAAGAGGAGGAGGAGGAAGAACGGAACGGAAGGACCCGCGGGGGAGTACAATGATGATGACGACGATGATGACTACGAGGAGGATGAGGAGGGCGAGGAAGAGGAGGAGGCCAAAGGAAGAAGAGGAGGAGGGGGAGGGGCGGGAGTAAATGGAGGCGAAAGAGAAGGCGACGGCTCCGGGAGCTGGGCGGCCAAAGGGGGGGGGGGGCTTCAGTCCCCCCCCCCCTTTTGCGCCAAGGGAGGGGGGAGGGGAGGGGGTTGCTTCCAGAGCACCCCCCCCCCCCCCCGTCAAAAGAAATAGAAAAATCGAGAAGGGGGGGGGGGGGGGGGGGGGGGGGGGGGCGGTGGGGGGAATCACCAAGCTCCATTAAGAGGAAGGAGGGGGGGGGGGGGGTAGCTTGAAAGCCCCCGCCACCACCTTTTTCCGGCCGCGAAAACAGAAGGGGGGGGTGCGGCTTCCGAAGACCCCCGCCCTTTCAAAGGGGGGGGCGGCTCATTCCGGCTCAATTAGAGGAGGAGGGGGGGGGGGTAGCTCGGGCCCCCCCCCCCCGCTCGGACAGCGAAGGGGGGAGGGGGGTGGCTTCAAGCTGGGGCCCCCCTTCTAGTCTGTCGGGCCCCACGAGCGCGGTCTATCAGAGCACGGCGAGCGAAGCGAGCGAGCGGGCAACTATTCAGAAGGAGAGCCAGAACCGATACTCCCAAACCTGGTGGCGCTGGAAATCCCGGTGGCGACCCGCAAATAAGCGCAGCCGAACTGGCGCGGCGACGCGACCATATACACGAAGAGGTCGACCGATCGGCGTGAGTCAGACAAACAGCACCATCAGAGACGAAGTAGACCGACAGGCACACCCAGACGACATCCGTGAAGTAGGCGACACAAATGCCAAAACACCGTGTCGGCACAAGAGTGAAGAGGGGCAGCCTCATCACCGACAAGACTGCAAACGGCAATAAAACCTGTAACACTTGTCGAAAGCGAAGCCCATGCAGGAGAACGCCGGCCAACGAGCGCACAGAGCCACGCGTGCCTAACCGGAGGTCCAGGTACCGTAAGGTAGGCAATGTAGCAAGAGACCCACTGGAACCGTCTGGTCATCAGTAGGGGCCGACACCAGCCAGGAGCAGGCCAGGGGGCACCTGACCTCAGCGAATGTGACGCAGCACCATTCCCTGTGCGAGCCCTTGCATACATTCCAAACCACCTGAACGCCGTCAGGAAACAGTATTGGGCAGTTAACCCCAGCCGCCAGGGAAGAGCCCATTGAAACAGGAGGGGGAGCACCCCGGTGCAACAGCTGGCCACTGCGGCATAAGGATGCAGGAGGGAGGGGAAGTGCACGCCAGGCACGGCAGGCACCCCGGTGTGGCAGCTAACCGCTGCAGCATTAGGATGCAGGAGGGGAGGGGAGGAACTGCGCGCCAGGCTCACGGTGTGGGTGCAACAGCTAACCGCTGTGGCATAAGGATGCAGGAGGAGAGGAGGGGAAGTGCACGCCAAGCGCGGCAGGCACCCCAGTGTGGCAGCTAACCGCTGCAGCATTAAGATGCATGAGGGGAAGGAAACAACTGCACGCCAGGCACACGGTAAGGATGCAGGAGGGGAGGAGGGGGAGTGCACGCCAGGCACGGTAGGCACCCCGGTGCGGCAGCTAACCGCTGCAGCATTCGGACGCAGGAGGGGGGGGGAGGAAGTGCAGGCCAGGCACACGGTGTGAGAGGAGGGGGGAAGAGCTCACCATAACCCTGTGTAGTCTGACTCGCACGCCAGGCGCTCTGATTCTCTGGTAGGGCGCTGACGGCTCGCAGACGCCGTCGACACGGGGGTGGAGGCAGACGGCCGCGCCTGCGACGTCAAGGGCCCGACCTCGCCCGATAGAACTCCCACCCTACAACGAGCGGCCAGTGTCGGCGCCCGCGAGATCCCGACCATCTCGCGGGGTTGCCTGGCGTTCCCTGTTCGCGCCGACGCGGTGTCCCAGGCGTTGTCCACGCACCTGCGCACAGTCGACACCCAGGCCCAATGAGTCGCTCATGGCCTGAGCATCGCAGCTGTGGCTGTGAAATGAGGTCAGGAAGGCGACGCAGGTTCGATGGTCGTGCCGACGCGGGTCGAAAGCGCGCGCGGTGCCAGGGGCAGCGTGTTGCTCGGCAAAGGTGCGCCAGACGGCTGTGAACGACGCACACAAGGTAACCTGAAGGTACATGATCGTCTCGTTCGGTGACACTCCGTGGGTTCCCCACTGGAAGTCGTGGACCCGGGCTTTATACAGCGGCCTTCCAACGTGGGAGCCCCGTGGTTCTGGATGCTGGCGATCGGCGAACAGCCTGGGCATCCACCCACTTCCTGTCCGACGCGTCGAGGGTGCCCCCTGGTTGGGCTGCCGGCCCGTCTCGGCGGTCGAGCTCGCGCCCCTACCCGAGAGGGCGGGGGGGCCTGGCGAGCTTTTCAGGGATGCAGGGGTTGCCCCGTGGCTGCAAGTAGAGGCGCCCGCCCGCATCGGGTCGCTGGCAGGGGAGGGAGGACGAATAGGGCGTAAGGGTTCCTCGAAACCAGCTGAAGGATGGCTTCGTTGTCCCGCTCGTCAGGGGAAGGCTGGCGTGTGGGCGCGGTGGAACTTCCTAGTGCCGTCTGGAGGGTGGCTTCACTGTCGGGCAGGCCGTCGGGTTGGCCGTCGGGCTGGCCGAGGAGCTGGCCGTGGGCGTGAGGTTGGGCGCCGGGAGCGGTGTCGGGTGAGGCGTCAGACTGGTCGTGTGGTTGGTCGTAGAGCTGGCCATGGGACTGGCCTTGGGGCTGGCTGTCGGGCTGGCCGTCGGGGAGGCCTTCGTGCTGGCAGTCGGGCTGGCCGTCGGACTGGTCGCGGGGCTGGCAGTAGGGTTGGCCGTGGGGCAGGCTGAAGGGCTGGTCGTGGGGCTGGCATTCGGGCTGGCCGGCTGGCAGTCGGGCTGGCTGTCGGGCTGGCCACGGGGCCGGCCGTCGTGCTGGCAGTCGGGCTAGCCGTCGGGCTGGCCGCGAGGCTGGCAGTCCGGTTGGCCGTGTAGGCCGCGGGGCTTGCAGCCGGGCTGGCCGTGGGGCTGGCTGTCGGGCTGGCCGCGAGGCTGGCAGCCAGGCTGGCCACGGGGCTGGCCGTCGGGCTGGCCGTCGGACTGGCCAGGCTGGCCGTGGGACTGACCGTGGGGCTGGCAGTCGGGCGGGCCGTCGGGCTGGCCGTGGGGCTGGCCGTAGTGCGGGCCGCGGGGCCGGCCGTGGGGCAGGCAGTCAGGTTGGCCACGGTGCGGGCCAACGGGCTGGCCGTCCGGCGAGCCGAGGAACTGGCAACCGGGCATGCCGCGGGGCTGGCAGTCGGGCAGCACGGGGAGCTGGCCGCCAGGCAAGCCGCGGGGCCGGCCGTGGGGCTGGCAGTCGGGGGGCGGGCCGCCAGGCTGGCCGTGGGGCGGGCCGAGGAGCGGGCCGCGAGCCGCAGCGGCGGCGCCGGCCACCGCGCCAACCGCCGCCGCCGCCGCAAGCGAGGAACCGGCAGCGGCGGCGGCAGCGGCGGCGGCAGCGGCAACAGCAGCGGCCGCCGCGAAAGCGGCCGAGACGCCGGCCACGGCGCCGCCGCCAGCCGCCGCCGCCGCCGCCGGAGGGGAGCAAGTGGCGGCGGCAGCAGCGGTGGCGGCAGCAGCGGCAACAGCGGCGGCGGCCGCGGCGCCGGCGGCCGCGGGGGCGGCGGCGGCAGCGCCGGCCACCGCGCCCTCCGCCGCCGCCGCGCCGGCGGGGAGCCGGCAGCGGCGGCGGCGGCACCGGCAGCGCTGCAGCGGCCGCCACGAAATGAAAGCGGCCGTGACGCCGGCCACGGCGCCGCCGGCCGCCGCCGCCGCGCCGAAGGAAAGCCGGCGGCAGCGGCAGCCCCGCGGCCGCCGGCGCGCGCGGCCGCCGCCGCCGCCGCCGCCGCCGGCGAGGAGCCGGCAGCGGCGCAGCAGCGGTAGCGGCGGGGCAAGCGGCCAGCGCGGCGCCAGCCGCGCCCGCGGCACCACTGGCGCCGGCGGCGCAGGCGGCGCCCGCGGGGGCCGAGCTGGGGCGGCCGCCGGCCGCCTCCGACGGCGGCGGCGGCGGCGAAGGCGACGGCGGCGGAGGGCCGCCAAACCCCGGCGGGGCGTCCCGCCGCGCCGCCACCAGCCGCTGACGGCGGGGCAGCGCGGCCCCGGAGAGGGCCGCCCCGAGGGCGGACATGGCCCCGGCCCGGGCGCGCACCTGAGAGGGGCGGGCTTGAGCCGAGACAGCTTGAGCCAGAGGGAGGTTACGGACTGGTGGGGTTACGCGAAGCGTTCAGAATAAAAGGTTCTTTCCATCCATGTGTGGCGCGTGCCGTATACACAAAATACGTGTGCACTGCATGCACTCACTGATACTGCGGGTGCGCGTGTAAAACGTACACCGGTGAACTCGCGAGGGTTACACGTGCCACACGGAGGGCCACTCTGGCTAGATCATACGAAGATGTGTTTTCCTTAAATGGAGCATCCAGCGAAGGCCAAGCCGTGCTGTAGACGCCCAGACCCGCGGCCGGCATCGAAAAGTGTGCGTGGGAGGCGCGGCTCCACAGGAAAAGTGGAACTTGAAGGCAATTGAAGCGGATGGAGGAAGAGTAAGCTTGCACCAAGGGAGCAATATCACAAAAAATGGCAGAGGACACCAGGCTGGGCGAGCGCAGGCAGACAGTAGGTCCTGCCTCCTACTCCAGCTCACCTGGAGGCTTGTCACTCCTCTTCCGCGCCTCCTTGTCGATCCTGTTGTATATGTACTCGTAGTTCTGGTAGAAATTCAGCAGCCCAAAGAGCTCCACCTTGGCCCCGTCGCGCAAATTGATGCGCATGTCCGCGCAGTAGCCCAGCCACCTCATACCGTACTTCATCTCGTAGATCTCCTGGTAGGAAAACTCGGTCACGTCCTTGCCGTCCCAACCGCCGCTCACTGACACCCGCCTGTCCGTGATCTTGTACTTGACACGGAACTGCCTGCTGAGCATGGCGAAGAAATGAGTACCATCCCTCCCTTTGATGTTCTCCTTGATCCCCGCTCCCTCCTCTCAGGGAAACGTCTGGCTCCAGTTTGGGAGGGCTCGGGTTGGCCTGACAGGGCCATCAGACAAATTGCGGGACCTGGTCTGAAATTTGACGCTAACTCACGCGGTGAAAACATCTCACCACTAAAACGAGACGGTCAAAACTCACCCTGGGGAGCATCAGAAAGCGGCTGCAAAAGCCCCGGTTATGGCCCAATCTCGAGTCTTACGGTTCCCCAATCCTCTGCAATCCCTACCCTCTCCGTCTCCCCCCTCCCTCCCTCCTTTTCACCTCATCCCTCCTCCTCCTCCCTATGCTCAGTCCCTACGCCACGCTCTTCGCTCCTTCCCCCGCCTCTCCTCCCTTTCCCCTCCCTCCTTACTCCCTGCCCGCTTCTCTCCCCTTCCCCCCGGCTCCCTCCTCCCCGCATCATTCCTCCCTCCACGCTCTTCCTCCCCCTCCCCGCTCCCCAAACCCCGCAGCTCGCTCCGCCAACTCTGCCTGCGTTATCCTCCCTCCCTCCTATGGTCTCGCGTCTCGCAGGGACTCGCCTGTTCACCGAGGCGATGAAAGGGACGATTCCGATGACCACCAGGCAAGACAGTAGAGGTGCAAACACCTCCGCTGGCAGAGAGGGGAGGGGGATGATGATAATGATGATGATGATGATGATGATGATGATGATGATGATGATGATGAGGAGGATGATGATGATGATGATGATGAGGATGATGATGATGATGATGATGAGGAGGATGATAATGAGGAGAAGAAGAAGAAAAATAATAATAAGAAGAATAATAAGAATAAGAGGAAGAAGAAAACAAGGGGGAGGTGGAGGAGGGACAGGATGAAAGGGGGAGGGTGGAAGAGAGGATCGACCAGAGCAGACCCAAGATAGATCATGGATGCTGCAACGCACCCTCCGGTGCAAAGCTCCCTTTCTCAAAGCCCACAGCAAGAATTCCTCGTCACTGAGAAGCGCCCCCTCTCGAAAGACGAGTAATCCAAGGGCCTGCCATTCACGCGACAACCCCGCTTTGCAAAGGAACAACTCTCCATCCGAAGGTTGAACCAATGTCAAGCAACAAACCCTGTTCGAAAAGGAACCGTCATCTGGCCGCGCAACGGTTGCACACTTGTGTTTTGATATGACTTCCAACAACATTCAAAACGGAAATTCGATTTGCAAAAGTTAGTCTCCGTTCATGTTTCGGGCCGTAGCGTCCGGAAACGCCGCAAACAAGAGACCGATGTTGAGCATGAACCACCCTGTATTCGGGTAGCCGTTGCAAGCGCTGACAACAAATGTGCAGAGCGCTAGGGCGGTAGCCACAATTTGAAAACGGCCCCCTCGATCAATATAACTGCCCCGAAAGCTCCCGAACGAGTGTGCGCGGAGCCTAAACGACAGCAGCACATTGACGACCACCTGCACCCTCTCGGTGTAAGTGCTGGAAATGCCCAACATCCAAGAATCATGAATTGCGAGGAGAGCCACGGCGGAACGCCAAGCCCACCCTAGCGGCGCGCCTGGTGGTGCGAAAGGGAGGAGCAATTACTTACAAAGAAAGAACTGGTGAGCGCAGGAGGGGGAGGGCAAGGATAGGAGGACAAAAGGAAAGGATGAGTAGGAATGGGAGGGGAAGGAGGGAAGGAACATAGAAGAGGATGAGGATATTGAGAAGGGGCAGGGTAAGAGGATTGAGGAGAGGGCGGGCACGGAAAAGGGGAGAATACAAAAGAGGAGGAGGAGGAGGAGGAGGAGGAAGGCAAAAACGGGCGCTAGCACCTCCGTCGAGGAAGGCGGGCCCTCCCAGAACGTCACCTCCTTTGACAGCTTGGCGTCCTCCTGTCAAGCGACCGAAATAGGAGAAGGGACAGGAAGAGCGGCGGTCAACAAATACTTTGCACTAGCTGCCAATCGCCTGCCAAACATGATTCAAGTGGCCACCCTGGATTGGGTGGCGGACTCTTCGGCATTACAATTGTTGTCGGAACATGCGACGACTATTCAGCTGCCGCTCCGACGGAATTCGACAGCAGGCCGTCGCTGCCCAGCTGGTTCCACGCTTGCTGCGCTGGATCACTAGCCCCCGCCCGACGCCCGCTTGACAACGTGCTGCGAAAGAGGCGCCCAACTGCACACCCACACACGCACACACACAGCTATATCTAGTTGTGCGACCCACCCGCCTGTCCACTACATCGAAGCTCCAGGCCCTTGCGCGCCTGGCCCTTGCGTGCTTGGCAAAGCCAACGACATCAAAGCTGCAACTGCACATCTATACTTTTTTTTCCGCCACCGTGCCCCTGCGTCACCTTGCTCAATCCTTGAGCCTCAGTCTTCAATCCGGAGCACACTTTTAGTCTTTTGCCTGAATATGTATAACTCCTGCCATATATTCTGTTGCTATATCATGATCAACGGGTTTCGCCGATGACATGGGAAGAAAGGATAATGCCGCTAAGCTAGCAAGAGGGTAACCCTGAAGGGAGGAGGCCGGCCCGCCGGCCGACGCGCGCGCGCCGCAGGCTCGCTCTTTTTCTGGGGCCCTAGAGCCAAACAGCTTCAGGCAACATACAAATCACAAGCAGTATGAAGTGAGACAATCAGTGCAAGGCGAGAGAGCAGGACGGGCAGCAGAGTGGCGGTGCGGAAGGAGTGCGTTGACTCCCCCCGCGGCGGGATGCGTAGAGTCGCCCCGACCCTCCACCCACCAGGCCTGTACAAATGTACAGCCACAGGAGCAACCCCCAAAAACCTGTTACCGCTCAGTGGTGGTTGCTTGGGGGCGGAAAACCGAAACAACCCGACGAACCCCGCCTGAGCTAATATGTCGTCAGCTCAAGCCACAACGCCCATGCGCACCTGGTGCACCCGCTTCAAAATAAACGTCGGACCGGTAACGACGAAGTCGTACAGGTCCTTCTTGCACTTGATTACCTCTGCCAATCATCTCTCCAACTTCGAGAATCATCCCACTCATCACTGTTGCGCCAGTTCCACTGGCATTGGTTTCTTTGACGATCTTCATATCTGCCTCCTCTGCTGCTTGAACTCCAGCTGTCTGATTTGTCCTTGCCTTGGCCCTTGTCCGCCGCCCTCGCCTTCGGCGTAGGTGGTGGCCGTGGCTCCGGCAAGGCACGACCACGATTAAATTTGTCGTTGTAGTCACTCAAACTAAACCATTGCCAAGTTCTGGTATGATCCGTGATGTACTGATGACCAGTCACATGGACATAATATCCTTGAATTTCCCCGTTCTCGTTCTTGTCCGCGTGGTCCTGCGTCGCGTCCCAGCCGCCATCGCTCGCGCGGCCGTCTACTTCGGCGATGGGTACATCAGCCGCCCATGTCCGGACCCGATCAGTATCAATCCAGCCGGCATCGCTGCCCGACGCGGCTCCGCCAGTGGGCGCAGGATTATAAAGGGGCACGCCTACAGGCGTGCCTCTCTGTCCAGTTTGTCCTCGGTCTCGATGATGTTCGAGGACGCCGCTGGACTCTCGGCCCCGAGCCGGCAGAGCCGCTCGGGGCCGCAGGGTCACAATAGAGTTTGCAAAGCATGCACCACAGTTTGCAAAGCATACACCACCGAGCCCACGAGCGCTCACGCCACGCAGCTTGCACGGCACAGCATTCACCACGGAGCTTGCACACAGCAGAGCTTGCAAAGCATACACCACAGAGCCCACGAACGCTCATGCCACGCAGCTTGCACGGCACAGCATGCACCACAGAGCTTGCACAGGCACAGCATGACTCGCAGCGCCACAGCTTGCCCCACCTGGCCTACACCGCGTGGTTTTCACCACACTGTTCATACCGCGCATCGCACACAAGACACCTCACGCGATACAGCTCACATCGCATAGCTCACAGCATAGTTTGCATCACACCTACACAGGATAGCTCACCGATGGTTAACATGACATAGCTGTCAACCACATCAGTACGACCCCGGCCTTTCTCAACCTGAACTACATTAAACCAGCACCGTGGTTAATCCCACCAGCCCATTCGGGCGTGACTGATGATTTCGAGTGACCTGCTGAAAACCAAGCCACACACCCCAGTCGATGCCCAAAAGTGCCGATCCGTCCGAGGATCGTCTGAAGACCGACGATTTAGGATCGATGGAAGATCGTAGATCCAGGGTCGAGGATCCAGGACCAATCAACGGTTGAACATCGAGAATCGGTGAAAGGGAAAAGTTGAATGGAGAGGTTACTTCGTGAAGTGCCGACCCAGGGGTTTTACAGCAAGCCTGTATCGAAAGGACGCACGGTAAGGACGCAAGGGCCTTGGAAGGCATATCGAAACTTTGCGAGCGGGACGCGGCCAGCGAAAGTGGCCAAGGATGGACCGAGGAGGCAAGGATGCAAAGGTTGCCCATCCTTACCATGCGGGTTGACTGCACTCCAGGAGGTCTGAGGGCGGCTAAGTGAAGGGCATTCCCTGAAGGGCACCGTTAGGGGGAGCGGGCTCAGGAGCGGAAGCATAGGCCTGGAACGGACGATACATCGCCAACAGATCGGCGGTAGGCCCCCGATAGCGAACCTGCAGGTTCCTGGGCGGAGTGGGCTATCGAGCCCCTATCGGCGATGAATGGGCGGTTGGAGGTCGATGCGTCCCCCTCCCCGAGCCTATCCCCCACCTAACGTTGCCTCTGAATTTCATTGAGCTCGGAACAAATTAACAGTCCCAGACCACTGGGCACTGAGCAGATCCTTCGACAGTCCTTCCTCCTACCTTCGGCCACTGCATGGCTGTATACTCACCACGGGCAACAACCTCTTCCCACTCGCACACCCGTGTCTTCCTGGCCACAGCCTCGGAGTGGCTCGAAAAGGTAACTATCGATCTGGCGGGGGATGGTAAGGGCAGATGCCTCTAGTCCGCTTCTCGCACCGCCTCTAGTCCGCGTCAAGGTTGCGTTCGCCCAGTCTGGGCGAACGCCGCCTTGACGCAGTCTTTCGCTGTTGTAACCTAACCTTAAGCCCCTCCGGTCCTTCTTGTCCATCTGGGCGGCATTGTTCTCCTTCTGCCGCTCGATGGCCTCCGCAAGCGACAGCCGCGTCTTCTTCGGTGCCCCAGCCTTGGTGACATGGGGGGCAAGGCCCTGGCGGAAACGGGTCCTGCTTCGCGGGCCCCTCCCCGCGACCAGCTCCTCAGCCCAAGCCGTTTTCTCATGGCCCCGGGTCCCAGGGATTGCTGCGGGAGCCCAGAAACCGACGAGAAGAAGCGCGGGCCCCCATCTTGCAGCATACCTTTTTTCCTCGTGCGACCCTGAACACTCGTCTCCCGACTCTTTCTCGGAATGCGTTCTGATCAGAATTCGGAAGGGGATCCAGCCGCGGCGACGAGAAGCCTTCCGGAGGCGCAAGGAGAAAGAAAGGCAGCAACAGAAAAACTGTGTTTGATCATCGAATCCTCCAGGACCCCTTTTTCTTCATGGCATCGGGGGCGGACGAAAGAGGGATAGCAAAGGGGGGTAGCGAATGAGCTGCATGCAGCTGTTGTTTCCCCAGGGCCTCCCAGCACCAAAGGCGCCCTTGCCTCGTGCATCGAAAACGGACGGAGCCCAACGGCGGGGCCGAAACCAGCTGCGCGGAGCAGATTATGTGCCCCTCCTGTCGCCAGCTCCTCCTGTCGTCCGACCCGACATGGCGACCTTGCCAGCGTTCAGCGAGGTGGCCCCGCTCCGGGCATCCCGCCGGCCAGCGGGCGCCCTGGGCCCCGCGAAGCCCCGCGTCTGCGCGAGCAGCGCCAGCACGGCGGCCAGCGCCGCCGCCAACAGCACCGCGCCTCCAGGACGGCGCGCCATGCCCTCACCGTCCCAGCGGGGGGGGGGGGCCGCCTCGAGCCACGCGCGAGGGGGCACCTCCCGGAGCCCGTCTTCGGCCAGCCCCACAGCACCAGAAATTCTCGTCGTCGCCGTCGCCGTCATCGTCGTCGGGGGGCCAGGGCGAGAATGATGCCACCTTCTTCTACGGAGAAGAGAATAGCGGCATGAGGGAGGGTGCGGCCGCAGCAGCTCTCGAGTGACCCGTGCACTCCGTGGCGATGCGCGGCAGAGACTGACCAGTGGTTCCATTTACAGCAACGTCCCAAAAGTACAGAAGCACCGGCGAGACGCAGATAAGGTTAGGTCGGGCCTGTCCCTCTACAGGCGGATCTTGGACGAACAAAAAAACATTGTCAAACCTTTCACACAAATGCTGGAAACACCGTCCCCATACTATTTTTGGACTATTTTTTAACATCCCTCCTGTGGAGGGACAAGCCCGACTTGAATTTACAGCAACATCCACGGAGACCTGCTGACCCGGGTCAATCCAGACCCGGGTCAGTCAGGCCTTGCAGAATCCTGCAAAATTCTGCACCCAAGCCCAGGTCAATGCGAAGGATCCTGCAAGATCCTGCAGGATCCTGCACCCAAACCCGGGTCAATGCGACCCTGGCCCTGCAGGATCCTGCAAGATCCGGCGCTCTCGCTGACCCCCGTTTGCATTGACCCCCGTCGCGAGGCTCCCGACCATCCCAAAAGTAAAGAAGCACTGGCGAGACGAAGAGAAGGGAGGAGGACGAGGACGGGGAGGAGGGGCAGCAGGAGGCAGGGAGGGATGACAACCGCGCTGACGGAGCCCCCACCTGGAGCAGGCTTTCGCCACTGCTTGGGAGATCACTCCCCCAACGAATCGCGTCGCACTTCCCGCCGGAGAAGGTGCAGCGAGGAGGGAGGAGGAGTTGTTTTCCCCCTAATCGCACACTCCTTCTTCATCATCATCATCATCATCATCATCATCATCATCATCATCATCATCATCATCATCATCATCACCATCACCATCACCATCACCATCATCATCATCATCATCATCATCATCATCATCACCATCACCATCACCATCACCATCACCATCATCATCATCATCATCATAATCATCATCATCATAATCATCATCATCATCATCATCGTCATCATCATCATCACCACCATCATCATCATCCTCATCCTCATCCTCAGCCTCATCCTCATCCTCATCCTCATCATCATCATCATCATCATCATCATCATCATCAGCATCATCATCATCATCATCATCATCATCATCATCATCTAGGTCGTGTTCCGCACGCAGCCACGTTTGCTTATAGGATCGTCTGGCGCGTTGTCGCTGGCACAAGCGAAAGCTGCTGTGAGATGAGGATGCGTCTGTTCAGCTGACTGTTGGCTGTTAGCCGAGAGGCGGCAAGGGGAAGGAGGAGGGGGAGGGAGGCCAGCAGGAGAGAGGGAGAGGGAGGAAAACGGCACGGACGGAGCCAAGATGGTAAGAGCCGAGATCAGGATGCGATTGGTTCGGGATGCGTCCCAGAATTTCCGAGGAAGTATCTAGCGGTCGTCGCTTTCGCGACCCATGCGGAAGATTTGGAATTATGGGAACACCTGGAAGCCTTGGGCAATCTGGGAACGTAGCTTAGGTCGGGCCTCTCCCCCTACTGGGGGATTCTGGGCGATTCATAAAAAATAGTCAACAAATACTCAAGAAAAATTCAACGATAGTAGAAATTCGTCCCCATATTATTGTTGGACTCTTTTTGAATATTCCCCCTGTAGAGGGACGGACATGCCCGACTTAAACGTAGCTATCATGACCTATTGGTCCTCTGACGAGCGGGGGGGGGGCTGGGGCGCCGGAGCGCCAGGCCTCGCGCACCCGCGCCGCGCGGATGCGCGGGGCGGCGAGTCTGGCTCGGCGCCTGGCTTGGCGCTCTCGCGCCAGCCCCGCCACCCCTGCAGAAGGACATCCTTCAAGCACATGAGATCCTCCGCCATCCCAAACGCAAGAACATTCGAGGGTACTCTCCCCCCGGGATACAAAAGAACATCCCACAAACACGACGACCATTAGGAGACCCTCCCCGAACCGATCTCGATCTTCTTTGGAGGCCTGGAAATGGGCACCAACACCAACACAGGGGGCTGCCTCCTCAGGGGGAAGATGATCCTAGATTTCGGTGCTGGTGATCATATTTTTCCACCCTGGAAGCCAGAATTTTACCACCATCACCGAGACCGAGATCTTCTTCATCCGGTGGAGGCACACCGCCGACATTGGTAGTGGTGTCAACCTCTAGGCCCGTTTCTCCTCGGGCCGACTGCAGGCTGGCCCCAGCTCTGCCAGGGCGCCCTTCGCCGAGGGCCCGGGGGTGCACCAAGGGGCTCTCCAGAACGGCGCACGAAGCCGGGGGCGCCTCGGGCCAAAAGCGGCAGGAAGGGAACGAACGGAGCGGAACTCCAATGAACGTCGTTTTTTTACTTTCCCCCCCCCCAAAAAAAAACAGGGAGTTTCACAGATTCCCATGACAGGATGGACCGCGCGACCGCCATCACCAGGGCCTTGAGCTCCCTCTGGCCTGCGAGCCGCAGCCTCTGACCCAGGACCGAGGGGAAAACATGCCTGCGATTTTCGCTCCCAGATCTGCACCAGGCCTCGGAGGAAAAGCCGCAGGGGGCCCGAGCAAGCAGGGGGGCGAAGGGGGGGCTCCCGAGGCACCGCTCGAGGCCGGCGCCCCCGCCCCGAGGGCCGCCTCGGGTACGCACTACCCAGGGCGGGGGGCAAAAAGGAGTGGAGAATCTGGAGGTCGTGGAGGGAGAAGGGGGAGGAGGGGGGGGAGGAGGAGGAGGAGGAGGAGGAGGAGGAGGAGGGAGGAGGAGGAGGAGGAGGAGGAGGAGGAGGAGGAGGAGGAGGGGAGGTGGTGGTGGACGGCCATGAAGGCGGGAGGAGGAGGAGGAGGAGGAGGAGGAGGAGGAGGAGGAGGAGGAGGAGGAGGGGGAGGGGAGGAGGAGAGGAGGAGGAGGAGGAGGAGGAGGAGGAGGAGGAGGAGGAGGAGGAGGAGGAGGAGGAGGAGGAGGAGGGGGAGGAGGAGGAGGGGGAGGAGGAGGAGGAGGAGGAAGAGGAGGAGGAGGAGGAGGAGGGGGAGGAGGAGGAGGGGGAGGAGGAGGAGGAGGAGGAGGAGGGGGAGGAGGAGGAGGACCAGTGTAAACCAAAGCGCCGCCAACGATGTTGGAATAGACCCTCCCACCAAGCTCCCTCTTCATGGGCCCCTGCAACGGTTCATCTCCACTGAGGGACCTGCCTCGTTGGAAAATAACCGTTTGAAGATCCTGAGGCTTGCCAGAACATTGTTCTCGGGATTCCACCGCCACTGATCAACCTGACTGTTGCGTCTTGACAATCCTGAATCGCACCAGAACGCCATTCCAGGGGCTCCAACACCGCGAACGAACGCAACTGTTGCACCCTCATAATCCTGACGCCCTCCTAAACACGATTTCTGGTACGCTGATCATGGGATTCCGTGCAATGTTTTCAACTGCTTAAACAAAATAACTAATGTTCGCGGCGCTAAGGCGAAAAATAACCGCCAACAATCGGTGAAACTCTTGCAAATAGACGACTGCACGCGGCGCTAAGGCGACAGCCGCACTTTGAAAACGATTCGCCCTCAATCCGTGAAACCCCTGCAATTTTCTAAAGCGAATGTGCGCGGCGCTTAGGCCAGAGTTATATTATGAAAACGGCCCGCCCTCCATCTGTAAAAAGGCTGTCATTGTTTAAGCTTCAGGGTCATCAATGGTGAGGAAGTCTCAAGAGAAACGCCCGGGGTGCGGCATGGACAACTTATGTATGAGGAAAGGGAATGGAGGAGAAGGAGGAGGAGGAGGAGGAGGAGGAGGAGAAGAGGAGACATTCCTAGGACATCCCTCAGCAACTCCCCCGTCTACACAGCGCAGGTAGTGAAGCGCGATCGGCGGCCGTCACCTTCGCGCCCTGGCGAGGTGATGCAGGGGGCGAGGGGATCAGGATCTGAGGGGGGAACGTCAGAGGGGAACTGCCTCAGGTGGAGGCGTCGACCTGGAATAGACGGGTACATGGCCGATAGATCGGCGTCAGATCGGCGATGGGCCCCCGACAGCAAGACCGTACGCTCCTGAGCGGGCTGGGCCATCAGGCACCCGGCGATGATTGTGCGTCTCCCCCCCACGTTGCCAATTTGACAATTTGGCGTTCGTGCCAAGGAACTCGACTCTCTGGCAGCCGTGCGGGGCGCTTCTGGCACCCCGTGGCACGCTCTTGCCGAGGCGCAGCTGCCGGAGAGCATGCCGAGGCTGGGAAACCGCCGAGACCGACGAGAACGCCCGGAAATCTCGAACCTCGAACCGCGTATCCCCACATGAGCCTACCCTGAGGTCGGGCCTGTCCCCCTACAGGCGGATGCTGGGCGAAAAATCAAAAATACCCCCCCAACAAAAAAGCATCAAAAATGACCGACAAATCATCAAAAAATCGTCCCCAGGCTATTTTTTGGACTATTTTTGAGCATTCCCCCTGTAGAGGGACATGCCCGACTTGGGCCCACCCCCTGCCTAACGCTGCCCCTGAAGACAGGGGGACACGCGCCAGGCGTCCGCCCGCGCCGGGCCTAGCCAGGCCCAGCCCCGACCCCCGTGGCCAGTACGAGCGCCCTCTCGTGTTGCGGCCTTCGGGGGTCCCTGTCTGTCAATCGCGTCGCCGCTGTTCGCGCCGAGCCCGCGCCTGGTCCGCGCGGAATCCGCGCCACATCTGCTCCGAGTCCACGTCGGACCCGCGACGGATGCAAAAGAAGCCTGCCGTCTGTTGGGCAGACAGCCTCCACCCCCTCCTAGGATGCGGCGTCACACCCTCCTGGCGGCCAGTCCAGGAGGGCGGGCCCACTGATCCTTGGCCAAAGATGAGCCTTGCCAGGGCCGGTGTAAGGAGGAAACCGCTGGCGCCCTCTGACAGGGAGCGAAGCGGGATCGGCAGCAAGGGCGGGGAGGAGGGCGCACAACAGGGAGGTGATCGCCTGAGAAAACT